CACCCCATTCCTCTTCAATTTGTCATTCCCGGCATAGTAGATCATATGGTTGGTTGTCTGATTCAAAATGGCCAAAACCAGTCCATTTCAGCTTACTAATGCCTAAGATATCTATCTTTATGCATGTTCATAGGTAGGAAGGCTGAATATTGTGAAAACGTCAGTGCTGCTCAAAGCAGTCTACATATTTAATGCAATCCCGATCCAGATACCATCGTTTTTTAAGGACGTGGAAAAACCAACTACTAACCTTGGAAGGAAGGTTGGGCAATCTACTTCCGTAGTGATACCACCTCGGAAATCCAAGGAGGGGTCGCTGTGAGTTGGGGCCAACTCTACGGCACATAACAACAACAACAACTTCATGTGGAAAGGAAAGAGACCTCGGATAAACAAAGCACTAGCACTACTGAAGAAGAAAAAGAAAGTGGGAGGTCTCACACTCCCGGATCTCAAAACCTACTATACGGCCACAGTAGTTAAAACAGCATGGTATTGGTACAGTGACAGACAGATAGACCAATGGAACAGAATAGAAAACCCAGAAATAGACCCATCCATCTATGGACAGCTGATTTTTGACAAAGGACCAAAACCTGTTAAATGGGGACAAGATAGCCTCTTTTACAAATGGTGCTGGCAAAATTGGATATCCTCCTGCAGAAAAATGAATCAAGACTCATACCTCATTCCATACACAAAAAAAGAAACTCAAGTTGAATCAAAGACTTAAATGTAAAACCCAAAACTGTAAAGCCCATCAAAGATAGGGCAAATCTAGGGGCCCTAATTTACGGCATAGACTATCAAGCATAATCCGGAATGCAAAGGAGGTGGAAGAGAAGGTAGATGACTGGGACCTTTTAAAAATTAAATTCTTAATGTGTATCGAAAGACTTCTCCAAAAGTGCAAAAAGAGAACCTACAGATTGGGAGAAAATAATTTCCTATGACATATCTGACAAAGGACCTATCTCCAAAATTTATAGAATACTTCGGCACCTCAACACCAAAAAGACAGACAATCCAATTTAAAAATGGGCAAAGGACATGAACAAGACACTTCACTAAAGACGATATTCTGGTGGCCAACAAACACATGAGGAATTGCTCATGATCATTCGCCATTAGAGAGTTGCAAATCAAAACAACGATGAGATATCATCTTACCCCAGCAATAATAGCAGAGTTCAACAGGACAGAAAATAACAAATGCTAGCGAGGTTGTGGCGAAATTGGAATTCACATACACTGCTAGTGGGACTGTAAAAGGGTACAACCATTGTGAAAAATGGTATGGCGTTTCCTTAAAAAACTGAAAATAAATACAATTTGAACCAGCAATTCCATTACTAGGAATATATCCTAAAGAGGTGAGAGGACACGAACAGACATGCACACCTGATCACAGCACAATTTGCTATAGCAAAGAGATGGAAACAACCTAAATGTCCATCAACAGATTAATGGATAACCAAATTGTAGTACATGCACACAATGGAATACTGTGCTACATGAAAGAACAATGAAGAATTCACGAATCATCTCACAACATGGATGAACCTGGAGGACATTATGCTGAGTGAAAAAGTCAGTCACAGAAGGACAAATATTGTATGAACCCATTACTATAAAAAGTCAAGGAAGGGTTTGCTTAGGCAAGGGAACTCAATTTGTAGGCTACCGGGGATGGAAGGGAAGGAGAGGGAAAAATTTTGGACTAGATAGGGCTACATGCTGAGTTGGTTAAGGGGAGGGATGGTATGGAAAGAGTCTGTGACCAGCATGATAACATTGGGGAAAGGGAAGACACTGACTTGTGCATATAAGATATAGATGACGAGGCTAATACTAGTATATCCACAATACTGCATTGCCACTAACACCAAACTCCAGACTATAGATAAATGCATAGCCTACTGAGAAGATCAGGTGGCGGTCAGTGAACAGGAATCTAGACCAAGGATAGATTCAGCTGAGGATAATCTTGCACAGATATTAGTGATACAAAATAACCACTGTCATTACAGAAGCAACAGAAGACAGACTTGGAGAAATCCCTCAGAGACATCCAGACACCTTGGGAAAGAGAACCACCAGACCTGCTGACTCAGGACCATGGCACTGGGGGATACCAGACTCAGTTGGTGCAACATAATACATAGAAACCTTGATCCACAGCGTACTTTGGAAAGTAGCGATTGGGGTCTTAAAAGTTTTCGAGCAGCCATCTAAGGTACAGCTAATGGTCTCTCGTCTGAAGTGAAGAAGAGTGAAGAAAAGCAAGGGCATTTGGAAATAATCAGCCCTAGAATATGATGGACCTTAGGACCAGAAGAATTAGATGGTGCCCAGCTACCAATGTCAGCCACTCAGGGAGGGATCAAATTGGAGATCCTGGGTAGAGTGGGAGGAAAATGTGGAACAAAATTCAAAAACACTGTAATGAGCAGAATTACTGGTTGGATGGAGTCTGATGGGTCCCCCAAGACTGTGGCCCTGAGATATATTTCAGGCCTTGGATAAAACTCCCTCCCAAGGACTGGCTCTCAGCCCAACAGCAGAAAGACTTACATGCAGAACACCCAACCCAGGGCAATATGCCCACCTACTCTACGGAGATACACCCCTTAGAACAATCCTCCATAGGGCACCAGAGGGGCAGCATTCACATGGAGGGAAAGCTGGACAGACAGGAGTGCATAACTAAGAAGGGCACAGGGGTGGGGGGATCACAGGGATGGGAAGGGAGGATAGTGGGTTAGGGTTGGGGATGGTAATCGGGGAGTAAAGCCAAATGTACACCAACTATTTTTTATTTTTATTATTATTATTATTAGGATTTGGGTGAAGATTTACAGAGTAAATTCACTTTTCATACAGCAGTTCACATATACTTTGTCTCATGTCATTG